AAGAAGTTATTAAGTCAAACACTAACGTTGGGTCATTTCTTGCTTCTTCCTTTTTCCTCTTTATTTTTGCTTCAGAGACCTTCTAGTGAGTTTTTTTCCTTTTCTCTGTATTGGTATTTAGCTGGAGCAGGTTGGCATAATGCATAAAGAGCAACTGATTTGGACTCTGGAAGATCCCAAAGTTTGAATCCTACCTTATATTCTTATTAGCTGCATGTCCCTGGGAAGCTCATTTAATCTCTCCACATCGCTTCCTCCTCATCTGTGTAATGTGTTGTGAAGATCAAATGAGACAATAGATTTTAAAACACTTTGCAGACTTTATACTTCTCCATGAATGGCAGCTATTAGTATCATTCTACCATTTTATTTATTCATTATAGGACTTTCCATGGGAAATCTCCACAAGAAATACTTGTTTCAGTTAATGTATATGCATGAAAGTAATAAAGTTGCACTAAAACATTGGACTCTTTCCTAATTCCTACTGGCCTCCTCCCAACTGCTCCAAATTAGTGAGGGTTTATTGCATTTTGATCTTTTTTTTTTTGTAGAACATTTGGTTATTAACACAGGTTTCTTTCAGCAGAAAGATTCAATGTTGTCAAAGAACACTGATTTATCTGGCATTTCACTGTTTATTTTATTTCTACATCAGCAATAGAGGAGAGAAGCCTCTATTCATCAGTAGATATAACATGAGTGTTTTCATCTCCCATATCATCACATTAATTAATCTGGTTTAGGAAGAGGGGTGTGATGACAGTGGTGGTTTAAAAAACATTTTGCTGGAATACTTCAAGGCAGCTTCCCTGCCTCTTCTGCTGTTAAAGAGAAGGGACGCCTGCCAGGATCAATTTACCCTTTCATTCTTCTTTAATCGTGACTTCCAAAGTAGGGCTCCTTTTTTAATTTCCTACTGACCTCTCATGGTTCAGTCTTCAACTTTGCATTTCTCTAATCATCTTTGGGCATGCGTTGGTAACCTCATTTATTTCACGGCTTCAGCTACCACCAACGAGAATCACAGACCAGATGATTTGAAATAGGAGGAAATTCAACCCCAAATCTCATTTTGCAGATGAAAAAATTAAAACCCAACTTAACTAAGGTCAAGCAGGAAGTCAGAATTTCCTGAATTTCTCCTTCCTCTGAATCTAAATTTAGCAGTTTTGCTACTACTCCATGCTTTCTCTCTCTGACCATCCTTCTTTTATTTTGTTCTAGTCTCAATACCACATTTCTGCCTTGTGACCTTGTGCTTATGCTTTCCACTAATGATTTCTTGTTTGCCTTTGACTGGGAAGCATCATCAACTCCCTAAGTGTCTGTCTTCAAATTTAAATTGATTGGTCATCAAATGATTTGCTTCTTCCTATCCTTTCCAATAAGAAAGCACTTGACATCAAATACTAGACCATATAGCTTCACTAGGCTTCCAAGATAAGACCTGTAAAATGATGGATAGATATACACCCTTTACCAACCTAGATCACAAAGCCCTGTGAACTTTAGCACCAAATTTTATCAATAGCTGTGGCAAAGATGAAAAAAAAATCTCTTACACAGTAGTTAATTTTCTGGGGATAAACTGTACATTGAGATAACCAGGTTCTTAGGTAACTTCCACAGAATTCATTAATAGGCTGTACTTAGAGCCTTTCCAACTTTGTGGGTCCTGCAAAATATACAGTCCACAAAGCTTTGCGATCCCAGGTTCACCTTTATTTCGTGGAGTGACACTAGAAGTGGCTCTTAGAGAGGAATGGTACCTGTGTCTCCTGTTGGCCCCTTTCTGGGCCTCAGCTTACTTGTCTGCAACCTCTAAGGTCCTTCAGTCTCTCCAATCCACCTGTGATCCTATAAGCCTACTAATTCATCCAATGCTGAATGTAATACAAAGCAAATGTCATTTACTTGCCTGATGTTTCCAATTAGTATACTTTTCCTACTAGCTTGAGTACTATCACATCAATCAGCTCATGTAGATTATAAACTCTGTGAAGACAGGAATTCTGCCTTCCATTTCTCTAAGATCCTAGCAAAAAAAAAATTCACAAAATAAATTATTCCCATAACATACGTCAAGGTTTTTCCCAAACTCATCTTCATTTCTCACTTTCTTAATTCACCCCATTTTGCACCTGACTATTTCATTCACCTTAATTCATCTTTTCTTGAGTCCCTTTCTTTGGCTGAAATAACTTTTCATTTGGACCTCCATTCCTGTCTTGCAAATTTTCTTCCCCTCCACCAACTACTAGCTTGATGAGCTCAATTATTCAAAGAGAGTGGGCTGTGAGAGTCTTCAGAAAGCACATGTGCATTTAGAATTTTTTTTAAAGTAGACAGCAAGAAATGTCGGATCTTGTGGTTGTTAAACAAAAAGATATTTATGAAAATGTCAGTCAACTTGGTAACCAGGGCCCTCAAAGAAATACTACACAGTACTTAAGCAATAAATACAATTGTTGTTAGGTCCTCTAACATTTTATTGTTTTAAAAATGTGCTATTGACATTATTCATTGGCTGTGGAAACTTGAGTTATGTAGGTCTTTGAAAATCTGTATCAATAAAATTGCATAGTTGCTCACATAATTATATTTTTAGTACTATATGTGTACAGCCTAATAATGTTTTATTCTTTTTAACTTTTTATTACCTTACTTTCATCTCTCTGTGCTTTATGCCCATTAGGACTCATTAGTTACTATGGAAATAATGGTGCAATGAACGTGAAAGGAACTTTGTGACATCCATAACTCTAATACAGCTGGAATTCTTGTACAATTTGAAAGTTAGGACACAAGACATGAAATGGAGGGACTAATGATTGGTAGAAACTCCATGTGTAGGTAGGGTGTCTCTTTCAATCAGCTAACCAATAAGTATTTGGATGTTATATCACAGTTATTTAACACTTTTATAGCATAAATATGTCTCTCTGAGTATTACAAGCTTAGTTCCCCATAGACTTTTCATTTTAATTCTCCTATGATATATTTCTTTGATTTTCTGGGAAATTATCCTCTCAGTTAATGTTTATTTTTCTTTCTGCTCTCTTATACCTGCTCTTTTCCCCTCCTGCAACCAAAGGGTATATTATTTTAGAAAGTGTGGGGAAGGGGAGAAAGAAGAGATAGAATTGCATAGTGTTATAGAACTGTGAGCTACATATGCTTTCTATCCCAAATATTTTTTTTATGTCATTGATAAAACTCACATTAAAAGAAGAATAAAGGAAGGAAGGAAGGGAAGGAGAAGGGAAGGAAGACAAAAGAAGAAGAGAAAGCAATATAGAAAGAAAGAAGAAAGGAAAATAAACAATGACTTCATAGCTAATAAGTCCATGTCTTTAGTATTAATGAAGTTTTGCACAGCAATGAGCAATAAGCATATGACCAAGACAATAATAAAACATGGCTGGTAAGCTATTGTATTGGGGATATTTAAGAATGTACCATTTAACATGGTATAGTATATAAAATGCTTGATCTGGAGTCAGGAAGACCTGAGTTCAAATCCAGCCTTAGTCCCTTACTACCGGTATGATACTGGGCAAGTCACTTAACCTTTGTCTGTTTTAGTTTCCTCATTTATAAAATGGGAATAAGAATAATAAAGCAACTGCCTTGTAGTAAGGATGCAGTGAGACTATATTTCTAAAGTGCCTTACAAGTCTTAAAGCACTATATAATTGCTACTTTGGCTATTATTATTTTGTAATTTTTTTCTGCTTTTTTTTTGGTGAGGCCATTCATTTGGTGAGGTTAAGTGGCCTGCCCAGGGTCACACACTAGTAAATTTTAAGTGTCTGAGGCTGGATTTGAACTCAGGTCCTCCTGACTCCACCTAGTTGCACCTATTTTGTAACTTTTAAGAAGAATGAACATTCAAATCTACACAGAAAAAAGAAATTTTAAGATATTGTACTTATGCATCGTATACTATTTGTTAAAATAGATTTATATATAAAAAATAGATCATTTAGTGAATACAGAGCAGACCTAGGAGTCAGAAAGACTTGGGTTCAAATTCAATCTCTGATATTATAGGCATCAAGACCCTGGATAAAGCACAATCTCTCAGGGCCACAGGCAAATCTTTAAGAATGAAAGCTGCAGAATAGTTGCTGGTAGGCATTAGTAGTGGGAATTTCTTCAACCGAAATTCCCTATCTCAATGAAATCGCAGGTCTGGTCTACATATTCACCCTAATTCTCGTGGTTAGGTTTGTATTCACACATGTAGAGGAATCAACATATTCATAGAGACATGACTTACATATAAACTTCAATACGACACTAACAGATACATCCTCTTTGTTTTCTGAAAGTTTCCTTTTGTGTGTTATTCCAGTTTGGTTACTATTATAAGAGTGATAATAAGAATTATTATTATTAATTTCAGTTGGGGGTTATTATTGATAATTATAAAATATGTATAAAGGCCTTTGATACTGTCAGTTGTGAGGGCTTATGGAAAATATGTCAAAATTTGTTTGCCTGGAGAAGTTCATCAGTATTGTATGTTAATTTCATGATGGCTGCTTGCCTGAGTTCTGGGTAATGGATAATGCTCTCATGCTTTCCTAGTCACCAATGGAGTGAAATAAGTCTGTTTGCTTGCTCCCATAGTTTTTTGCTTGATGTTTTCAGCTATATTGTCAAATGTTTTCAATGAGGATGAACACGACATCAAGTTCAGCTACCACACTGATGGCAAATTCTTCAACTTGAAAAGGCGACAAGCCAACACCAAAGTGGAGGGCGTGTTAGTGCATGATTTTTGATTTGCAGATGATTGTGCACTCAATGCAGCCTCTGAAGCTGAGATATAACAAAGTATGGATCGATTCTCTGCTGCTTATGCTAATTTTGGTCTAACAATTAACACCAAGAAACAGGTGCTCCATCAGCCACCCCCACACTATCTGAATGTGGAGCCATCGGTTACTGCAAATGGAGAAGTTTTGAATGTCGTAGATAGGTTCACTTACCTTGGTAGTGTACTTTCCAGGGATGTTCAAGTTGATAGTGAGATTGATGTACACATTGCCAGAGGTGGCTCAGTGTTTGGGAGGCTCTGAAGGAAAGTGTGGGAGAGAAGAGGTATTAGACTGATTACCAAACTGAAGGTCTACAGAGCCACTGTGCTGACCTCTTTGTTGTATGCCTGTGAAACCTGGACAGTATACCAGCGCCATGCCAGGAAACTGAATTGCTTCCATTTGAATTGTCTTAGGAAGATTCTGAAGATCACCTGGCAGGATAAGATACTGGACACTGAGGTTTTTTCTCAAACTAAACTGTGAAGCACTCAAATGCAAAATGTATGCTTGCCTTAAAGGTAAGCATACATACATGGAGAACTCACACAGGGCAATCGTCATAGGCAGTCAAAAGAAGAGATACAAGAACACTTTTAAGGTCTCTCTTAAGAACTTTGGAATTAATTGTGTGATATGGGAGACACTGGCACAGGAATGCTCAGCATGGCATGCCCACAGCAGAGAAGGTGTTGTACTCTCTGAACAAAGCAGAATGAAATAACTCTAAAGAAATGCATTATGTCTTGTTCCAAGCTACTTTCATGATTCATCATTCCAACAGCAATATGTCTAGGAGACACCTTAAACTCAACATGTCCAAAACAGAACTTGTCATCTTTCTCCCCCCACTATGACCTTCCCTATTAATGTTGAAGACAACCACATCTCCCTAGTCCCTCAGGCTTGTAATCTAGAAGTATACTGGAATCCTTACCTTCTCTCATCCTTCATATCCAAGATATTGCCAAGGCCTGTCAATTTCACCTTTGTAACATCTTTCAAATATGCCCCCTTCTCTCCTCTAACACTGCCACCACTCTAGTGCAGGGCCTCATCACTTTACACCCAGATTATTGCAATAGCCTACTGGTAGGTCTGCCTTCTTCAAGTTTATACCCATTCCAGGCCATCCTCCATTCCACCATTAAAGTTATTTTCCTAATAGGTCTGATCATGTTGTCCCCATACTTAATAAACTTTAGCGACTCCCTATGGCCTCCAGGAGCAAATATGAATTGCTCTGTTTGACATTCAAAGCCCTTTATAACCCAGTCCTCTCCTATCTTTCCATTCTTCTTATACCTTACTCTCTAACACACATTCTTTGATCCAATGATACTGGACTCCAATGAACAAGACACTCTATCTTTTGGCTCCAGGCATTTTCTCTGGCTGACCCTCATACATGAAATGCTCTTCTTCTTCAGCTCTAACTACTGACTTTAGTGGCTTCCTTTAAATCTCAACAAAAATCCCATTCCCTAATGTATGCTTTTCTCAATCTCTCTAAACTTCAGTCCTTTCCCTCCATTAGTAATTTTTAATTTATCTTGTATAGTTTGTTTTGTATATATTTGTTTGCATGTTGTCTTACCCACTAGATAGTAAACTCCTTGACAGCAAGGACTGTCTTTTGTCTCTTTCTGAAGCCCTAGCACCTAGCACAGTGCCTGGCACAAAGAAGGCACTTAATAAGTGATTATTGACTGAATGGTGGATTGAGAGCATTCCAGGAATGGAAGGTGGGTGTTGGGTGTGGGGGGATAGCCATTGAAAATGCACATATTTGGGTAATGGAGTCTCTTGTTTGAGGAATGGCAAGGAAGCCAATGTCATTAAATTTCAGAATATAGAAAAGGTAAAGGGGTAAGATGTAAGAAGACTGGAAAGTTGGGAGGAGTAGCAGATTATGAAGGACTTTAAACGGAAGATTTTATATTTTATCTTGAAGCTGAAAGGGGGCCATTGGAGTTTGCTCAGCGAGTGTGTGTTTGATATGGTCAGATTTGTGTTTTAGGAAGATCATTTTGATAGCTAAGTGCAGAATGGACTGAAGTGGAGTGAGACGTGTGATGACAGGTAGACCTACCATCAGGCTTTTATAATAGTACAGGTGAGAGGTGAAGAGGGCTTGCACCAGGGTGGAGGTAGTGTCAGAGGAGAGACAGGGATATATGTGAAAGATATTATGAAGGGAAAATTGACAGGCCTTCATAAGAGATTGGATATGGGGCAGGAGAGAGAATGAAGAGTTGAGGATGTAAGTTAATGGGGAGAATTTGACTGCAGTGTTAGAGACAAGAGAGGTTTCAGACTAGGAGAGTCAGTTACAATTATAAGATGACTGTAGTGATTACATTCAGTACTAATTTAAAGAAAATCCATACAGTTTCATTTTTTAAGGAAGGTTTTGTCATGTCAAGATAGAAATTTAAAAAGTGACCTCTACCTTTGAATAATAACCCCAAATTGCTTTACTCCCTAAAATGTCTTCCATATTCTTATTTAGATTGTAGAATCCTGGCTATTCAAAATAATCTAACTAGCTCAGTTTCAATTATTTGGACTTCTGGAAAGTTATTTCCTAATCCCAAACCTTTGTATGTGTCTCAAGGACAGCAGCCTGTGGCCTGTTGCACTATAGACAATCTACCCAAAGATTTCATTATGATATGTCTAGGTGTGACAATAGATGGCTCATTATGTCTTGTTCCAAGCTACTTTCATGATTCAGCATTCCAACAGTGGTATGTCATTGTGAGCATTTCATGTTATTAGCTTTGTGTGTGTGCATATATGTTTGTTGTACTTTGTTCTAATTGCTGCATTTTAATAATGGGGACAAAATGTCCTTAAAAGTGAGGCATGTTCTAATACAGTGTGCTTGAAAGGTGCCTTGCCAATAAAACATACCCTTGTGGAGGCCTCTGAGAATAATAATCCTTTCTACTTCTATAGCACCTGCCATCTGTGTAGCTTGAATTATAGTTAAGATTCTCTCCATAAGAAACACCTTTCTGAAATGAGAAAATGAAAGATTTCTTGACCAGACGTTGTTGGCAAATTATTAGTGGAGTAGATACCATTGGATGATGTAATAATTTGCCAGAATCTTAGCAGAACCTTCTTAATACAACTTCTGCTGTAATTCCCCATGAAATACTAGAGTCGTTTACATAACGAGTCAGTACAGTAGGTCCATAATTTTATAGAGCTGTCGCTAGAAAGGATCTTAGAAGCCATCTAGTCCAATCTGTTTATTTTATAGCTAAGAAACTGAGGCCCAGATAGGTTGTGATTTGTCAATGTTGTCAGCGTCTTCCTGCAAACAAGTCTAGTACTCTACCCCATGCACCATGATGCCTCTCATGTAGTAGAAAGGCTACTGTATTTGCATACAAGAACATTCGCCTTCTGACCATGAGCAAAAATGAGCTGTTTATGAAAATGTGCAAGTCACTGAATCTCAGTGAGCATCAGCTTCCTTATTTTACACAAAGGGGATGGAAATGAGATGAGAAATAAAAAAGGAATAGTAATCTATCAAGGACTTTGTATGGAAAGTGCTTTTCAGACCATAAAGCATGATATGACTTTAAACTACTATTATTAATTCAACAAATATTTATTAAGCACACCCTATGAGTGAGGTATTATACTAAGGATATGAAGAAGCAAAACAAACATCTATCCTGCTCTCAAGAAGCTTACAATCTATTCTAACTTTCCAGAACTGCTGCTTTTTGTCTTCATGGTCTAGATTCAAGTGGGACATGGGGACTTATTCATAATTTATTCTTTTAGGTTATTTAGTTCCTTAGGAATAATATAATACAATTCATGTCTAGTTTTCTACAAAATACAAGTAAAAAGACCTCCTCCAGTTCTCTCACAAGTGTTCAGATTAATAATACATCAAATACAGGACAGGATTTATTTCAGTTCAGAGAAAAGTTGAAGCACAAATGACTCACTCCTGATTTCACAATCAATACAATTCTCATTCCCTCTCTGATGAACCTCAAATCCTCTAGGAATGTACACAGTCCTCCAAATTCATAATATAACCCAGTGTGTGAGGATTCCCTTGAAATAATCAAATTTCAGGCGTTACAAGAGACTCAATTCCACTCCCTTCACTGAGCCTTCTTTCTCTCCCAGGGACTTATACATGCCTCCATACTTATAGTAATACTACTAAATGGTTAGGCTCTACTCAAAAGGTGAACAAACAAATAAGCAAACAAAAACTTGAGCCCCTAGAAGTAATGTCCCTTTAAAGACACCGAACTGGGGAAAGTCATTTTAATTTGCACTTTCACACCACGACTCTATCTCTTGCTGCTGTTCAACTACAGGACCACATAGTTCTCCTCCTTGCCAAAAAGCTAAGTCCAGGAATTCAGTATTACTCATGAATTCCTCTTCTGTACCCCAGAGGAACTGATTCAGGAACTTGGTGTTGCCCAGTTGTGTGGCTTTTTTCCAACAAATTCTTCACTAATCTGCCACAGCCTTGTAGCACACATCTTTGGGGTTGAGTACTTCCTTGTGGGAAAGCTATGTGGCTAGGCAAGGTTCTCTACCTATGGTCCAGGAACCCACATATGCTCACTAGGTGTAGCTCTTCTCTTAGATTTGTCTGTCAGCTGGGGACTCTGTCAAACTTTCATCTCTGTACCCATACCCTATTAAAGCCTAAGTCCAAGATCTATCTATCCCAGCCATGTTTGGACAAATAATCCCAAATGCCATGACTCAAACAATTATCTTAAATGGCGAAAAACAACCATTCATCCTGTAGGTGGTATTATTGGGCCAATGACTAGTGACCTCATTAAGGAACAATTGTCAAAGGGCTAAATGTGGTATTAGTAGAGATGTTTACATTATTTATAGGGAAATATATTTAAAGACAGAGTCATCTTCAATAACCTCATCATTCTTAACCAGACCTCTCCTTTCTGTATGCTGCATCCAATGATTCTTAAAGTGTGGACCCCTAGGGGTCCTCAAGACCTTTTCAGTGGTACAGGAGGTCAAAATTACTTTCATAATAATACCAAGGTTTTAAAATTTATGATATGGTAAATACAGATAGATAAAACCCCCACAAAAAAGCTCTTTGGTAGTGGTCCTCTACTTTAGATGAGCATAAAGGGGTCCTGAGACAAAGAGTGTGAGAACCACTAATCTATGCTAATAATCATGTGATACAGGATTAGTCTGATGTTCTTACATGTAATAGATTTGG